AACATATGTATTTATGCATACAAGTACCTATGTACTTGTACATACATGTGTACATATATGTATACATAGATTCTAAGCACATACGCTTGGACTCACTTTTTGCTACTGCTTATGCGATGCTTAAAAGAAGTAATAAAATATGTAGTCAAAATTAACCGTTTAGGTACCATAGGCCAGAGGTTTTTTTAGAGATGGGGTGCTTTTGTCCGAGAGATTTCTGTTGCGGGCGATTATAACCCTCACTAAGTAGAATTATCCTTTCCGTGTTTCCGGAAAAGAGGGGCGGAAGTCTTTTTGCGCAGAACTTCTTTCTGCGTAGGCGGCCTTCGGCTGCGTTTAGGGATTATAACCCTCGCTGAGTAGAATTCTCCTTTCCGTGATGCCGGAAAAGAGGGGCGGAAGTCTTTTTGCGCAGAACTTTTTTCTGCGTAAGCGGCCTTCGGCCGCGCTTAGGGATTATAACCCTCACTAAGTAGAATTCTCCTTTCCGTGATGCCGGAAAAGAGGGACGGAAGTCTTTTTGCGCAGATCATATTTCTGCGTAGGCGGCCATCGGCCGCTCTTAGGGATTATAACCCTCACTAATAGAATTCTCCTTTCCGTGATGCCGGAAAAGAGGGGCGGAAGTCTTTTTGCGCAGAACATCTCTCTGCATAGGCGGCCTTCGGCATTCTCCTATCTTTGTTGCCGGAAAAGAGGGGCGGAAGTCTTTTTGCGCAGAACTTCTTTCTGCGTAGGCGGCCTTCGGCCGCGCTTAGGAATTATAACCCTCACTAAGTAAAATTCTCCTTTCCGTGATGCCGGAAAAGAGGGGCGAAAGTCTTTTTGCGCAGAACTTTTTCCTGCGTAAGCGGCCTTCGGCCGCGCTTAGGGATTATAACCCTTACTAAGTAGAATTCTCCTTTCCGTGATGCCGGAAAAGAGGGGCGGAAGTCTTTTTGCGCAGAACTTTTTTCTGCGTAGGCGGCCTTCGGCCGCGCTTAGGAATTATAACCCTTACTAAGTAGAATTCTCCTTACCGTGATGCCGGAAAAGAGGGACGGAAGTCTTTTTGCGCAGAACTTCTTTCGGCGTAGGCGGCCTTCGGCCGCGCTTAGGGATTATAACCCTCACTAAGTAAAATTCTCCTTTCCGTGTTGCCGGAAAAGAGGGGCGAAAGTCTTTTTACGCAGAACTTTTTCCTGCGTAAGCGGCCTTCGGCCGCATTTAGGGATTACAACCCTTACTAAGTAGAATTCTCCTTCCTTTGTTGCCGGAAAAGAGGGGCGGAAGTCTTTTTGCGTAGAACTTCTTTCTGCGTAGGCGGCCTTCGGCCTTGCTTAGGGATTATAACCCTCACTGGCTAGAATTCTCCTTTCCGTGATGCCGGAAAAGAGGGACGGAAGTCTTTTTGCGCAGAACTTCTTTCGGCGTAGGCGGCCTTCGGCCGCGCTTAGGGATTATAACCCTCACTAAGTAAAATTCTCCTTTCCGTGATGCCCGAAAAGAGGGACGGAAGTCTTTTTGCGCAGAAAATCTTTCTGCGTAGGCGGCCTTCGGCCCCGCTTAGGGATTATAACCCCCACTAAGTAGAATTCTCCTTTCCGTGATGCCGGAAAAGAGGTGCGGAAGTCTTTTTGCGCAGAACTTTTTTCTGCGTAAGCGGCCTTCGGCCGCGCTTAGGGATTATAACACTTACTAAGTAGAATTCTCCTTTCTTTGTTGCCGGAAAAGAGGGGCGGAAGTCTTTTTGCGTAGAACTTCCTTCTGCGTAGGCGGCCTTCGGCCGCGTTTAGGGATTATAACCCTCTCTAAGTAGAATTATCCATTCTTTGTTGCCGGTCGGGTGGTTTTGTCCGGGGGAATATTGTTTGGAGGGGATTTTGTCCAGGGGATGTTTGTTCAGGGAGATTTTTTTTCGGGGGATTTTTTCTGGAGGATTTAGTCCGGGTGATTTTATGCACGGGGGAATGATTCCGACCACCGTAACCAACAGCCGTTTCAGCTCATCGAACGCAGCTTGCTACTCATCTTCCCAAACCCAAGTGGCATTCTTTTTCGTCAGTTGCGAAAGCGGTTTTGCGAGATCTGCGAATTGGGGTACAAAGCGTATGTACCAGGAACATGACTGTAGAAAGGATAACAACTCCTTAACATTTTTAGGAGGCTTGCGCAGAGATATTGCTGTGACCATCTGGTGACAGAATGTGTCCCAAATATTTCACTTCGCTACATGCAAACCGACATTTGTCTTTATTGATCTTGAGACCAAATTGTTGTATACGGTTTAAAAGTCTACTAAGTTCTTCAAGGTGCTCTTCGAAGTTCCTTGAACATAGGATTATATCGTCCAAATATACAAATACTGTTAAGTTACTTAGAGATGCTTTGAGCCGATCGATTAGTCGCTGAAACGTTGCTGGCGCGTTTCGCAATCCGAAAGGCATGCGCGTAAATTTATGCATACCAAACGGTGTGACGAACGCAGTTTTATCCTGGTCTTCTTCCTTCACGCCGATTTGCCACTAGCCAGCCTGCAGATCCAATGTCGATATGAAATTGGTAACTTTAGCTTCATTCAGGAAGTCATCAATCCGTGGAAGAGGATACCGATCCGGCTTGGTGATGGCGTTTAGTTCTCGGTAATCGATGCAAATGCGCAGATCGCCTGTTTTCTTGGGTACGATAACTACAGGAGCTGCCCATGGCGATTCGCACTCTACTATTACTCCAATCCTGAGCATTTCGTTTATTTCTTGTCTCAACAAAGCCTTCCGCTGCGGTGATAGATGATATGGTGGCGAAGCAATCGGTAAATGCTCACCCGTATCGATGCTATGTGTGGCAAACGGTGTTGCAAATGTTGACTCTTCGAATACTTCGTTATGTTCGAGCAACAGCTTGTCCAAATCTCTACGCTGTTCAAGCGTGAGTTCGCAACCAGCTATCTGAGTTGGTGGACTCAACTCAAGAGAGTTCAAAAGGAAAAAATTTTCTTCGCAAAACTCTTCGTACCCACTAATCTTTACCTTAAATGGAGGCGCAAACAGACGAGAGGAGTTTTCGGGCGTAGATTCACCAACCGGTAGTGAACTTTTGAAAATTTGCTGCACTGAGTGTGGAGAGTAGTCATTTGAATGTGAACGTTTCTCTTTTACTGCTGGTCCATAGTTTCTTTCAGGGGAAACGGCATCGTCGATGTTAGTGCCACTCCTCATAACGTAGGGAACGAAGTTTGAGTATTCGTTTACCGCTTTATTACGAGGCGATAGCCGATTGCTCGTTACCACATGTGCGCCCGCTATGTCTATAGCTGACGGCAGGCCACTTACACTTGGCTTGGCGAATTCGAATTTTACCTTGGGCTCGTCTTCGAAGTACCAGTAGCGTTGGGCCATGTTCACCACAATGCCCGCTTGTTCCAAAAAGTCCGCTTCAATCAGTGGACGATTCTTCGTAGCATTTGAAAGAGATATCATCCGTATTTTCCGAACTCTATGGCCGATTGTAATGTCGCAAATGGGTGATAACGCTTTTTGCGCGGTAGTGCTTCCATCTGCCAACGTGACGTCAGCCATGACATCCTGGAAAACACACCCCTTGCTAGACAATATTTTCTTCAAGTTTGCGCTAACAACAGACGTTTTCGCTCCTGTGTCGAAGAGAGCTTCTCCTTTCAAACCAAACATCTCGATGTGGACCAATGGACAGATTGTTCCGACAATGGTGGTATTCACGCTATTAAACGCGAGATATTGTGGACTCTCTTTGCTGTGTCCGCTACATTTTGTGCAATTTGCGCGGTACACACCCGGTGCACCACAGCCGTAACAGGAAAACGTGGCTGTGCGTTTGGTTTGCAGTGCTGCTGCACTTGTACTTGTACTTGTCGTCGTAGTTTGTTGCTATGCCTGCTGCTCCTTTTTCTTCTTTAAGCACATATCTACGGTGTGACCGCGTAATCGGCAGATAGATCACCTTTTGGGCCCTTCCGCTCGTTCCGCCTTCTCAGATAGTGCCGCCGGAAGTTGATTGGATTCAGCCAGAAACAATTCCGCATCTCGGCAACGTGATAAGAGTTCACCGAACGTCGAAAATGCATCACGATGCACGCGCTCTCTTATCTTCACTGACAGGAGGCCGTATATCATATTGAGTTGCACCCCTTCGCTGTCTTTCAATTGTGAGAACAACAACCGCTTCTTGCAAATAAAGCTATCGGAGGCTTCGCGCACTTGTTGCTTATGTTCAAAAACACTTAAATAAGTTTTCCAATCAGGCGTTGGAGGAGAAAATGTCGCTCGTATTAACTCTATGGCGTCGGTGAATGTTGACACGGATTCTTTCACACCTATCCACCAAGTCGCTGCATAATCCTCGAGTAAAAGTGGCATACCGCGTAGCGCATCAGCATCAGGAATTTTCTCGATGTCTTTGTAGACTGTTATAGCAGCAACAAATTTCTCTACCGCTACTGGATCCCGTTGTCCTCTAAAGCGTGACGTGCATTGTGTAAAAGAACCGTTTTTATGCCGCTGGAAATCGCTTCCAATATTTGTGAAAATTGCTCGGGCGAGAATGTCGCCATTTTGTCCACGCTTGTCGGTTCGTCGGCGAGATTCGAGGCCACTGAGTTGGTCGCCAATGAAGAGTAGGACTTGCCGTTCCTTAAACAAAATGTCATAGGATTGGCCAGTCACACCAATTCCTTAATCGTTTGTAGTGACCGCGACTACGCCTCTTGATGGACCTGCCCGATAATCCGGACGAGAGTCGCATACAGAGATGGAATTGTACGCACGAATGAAAACGCGTTAGCTAATCTGTGTATACTAAATTGTCTTTATTGCAGTTAGTTGTCCGAAGCAATATAGGCGATCATGACGATGCTGATCGTCAGTGATGCATTTTAGAGTTCTCTTACAAGCTAAACAGAGTTGCATTTTACATGACATTACAAGGAGTTTAGACGTAAAACATAGAACAGTATGCTATCAAGTGAAATAAAATACAAGCAATGAATATACATATGAATAGCGGTCGTTACACTACGATTGTTTTTTGTAATTTAAATGAAGTTAAAAAGTACAAGTTTATTTACGAAGATGGAAACTAAAAAAATGGTATTTTACTGTTGCGATAAGGTCAAGAAAGCGATGAGAGTATTGTTTACGACGGCAATATTTCCGAAATGTGGTTTTACATTGTTCAGTACAAATTGTTAAAACTTTTGGGAGAGCATTGCCTTATTCGTACTAATTGTGAAGCATATTCATAGTCGAAATAAAGTCGATGCAGCAAATATTTTTAACAGATATTCTGTTAAAAATTATGTCAAAAAGCTGCAGCTACTTAAGTGTTGACTTTATATTGACTATAAATACGCCACATTGTTATTTAGGCAATATCATATATATACATTAGACTGCATCACCAAAAAAAAGTTGCGGCTTTTCCGCCAGGATTACAAAATTTATTATATTTTAAGACGTCCGCCACGATATTTCGGAAAAATATTAAGATTTAGGCAAGCTAGACCGATTTGAAAATACCTCCAAAAATGGAGTTTTTTATGAAAAAAATAGTTTCTTAAAGAACTTTTTGAAAAAAGTCACCTCAGATGACAAAACAGATTAGGCTTAAAAAATCTGCATAAAAAAGTTTAAAAATCTTTTCAACGGAATCGTAATAATGAGATTTTTGATGCTCTTTTTTTACTTTTTTCAAAGACTGATTTACGAAAAAAATTAAATAACTGGGCCAAAACTACTTTGATGTAGACTAATGGGATCTCGGTAGAAAGGTATTTTCCCACTATTGTTATTTATGTGCAAAAAAAAATCATTCGTGTCCCAAGTTTTTTTTTCAAATAGCAACCCATCTTAATTCCACTTTGAATGATGTTCCTTCATCCTACCTTTCTCTTTCATCCTTTGAATGAGCTTGTTAGCAAAGAAATAAAAAAGGTGAGAAAATACTTTTCCAATGATACCTCACAAGTCTAAATCGGAAGAGTTTAGGTTCAGTTATTCAAGTTTTTCTTATGCCATTCTTTGAAAAAAGTTAAAAAACAGTATCAAAAATCTCATTATTACGATTCCGTTAAATTTTTTTTTTAATTTTTTATATATATTTTTATGCAAATTTTTTAAGCTTAGCCCGTTTTGTCATTTGAGGGGATTTTTTCAAAAAACATCGCCAAGAAACTATTTTTATTCATAAAAAACTCCATTTTTGGAGGTATTTTCAAATCGGTCCAGCTCGCTTAAGTCTTAACATTTTTCCGAAATATTTTGGTGGACGTCTTAAAATATAATAAATTTTATAATTCCAATGGAAAAATAGTACCGATTTTTTTTGTATGGGGAGTGGTGCAGTCTAATATACATATATTATAGCAATAATTTTTTTTCTTAACGGGAAATGTATTTTATGTCGAAAGTTTAGTCTGAGTATATAATCGGTATTGGGTACCGAAAAGAAAGTATTGGGTACCGAAATCTTTTTGAAGTATTGGGTACCGACAATTCACCACATCACTAGTGTTGCCAGAATATTTTTGTACCCCATCCCCAAATCGGGCCGCAGGTATCCCCAAAAATCCCCATTTTTCTTTTAAATCCCCTTTAGTAAAAAATAAAAAAAGCATGTATTCACATTTGTGTTAGTTCATTTTAATCCAGTTTTCATTTTAATACAGCTTTCATTTTAACACAGTTTTCATTTTATTACAGTTTTGAATACTTTTCTCTACACATTTTCACAAATTTATATATGTATATTTACATACGTACATTTATTTTCTTTTAAAATAGAATTCAATCTACAACAGAAACAGCATAAATAAAAGTTTAAAATCAAAAAGTAATCAAACTTTTTTAGTGTAATAAAGTAGAAGTCTCAAATAGCTAAAGAATACCATTTATTTTTTAGAACTTCTTTCGTGGAGGTGGTTGCGAAAATTGTTTGCTCAGTGAAAGCCAATCAAAGCAGACATTTGCGCCGAATAATGCTTTGACGGCGTTAGGAAGACCTTACAAACATATCGCGCGAAAAGTATGTACTAATATAATCTTTATTCGAGAAATTTTTATGGGCAGCCGGAAAAATATGTTTTAATTTCAATATCAAAGTTTTAAACGAAACAAAAATCCCCATAAAATCCCCACATCCCCAAACGAAAAAATCTATCCCCAAATGGCTTCATAAATCCCCAAAATGGGGCAAAATCCCCACATCTGGCAACTCTGCACATCACTAACGATCTCGCGCAACTGGTATCGGCGACGAATGAACAAAATGTCAGCGACGCGTGTCTGTGTACGAACCTCTATGAATTTGTATTGCGGTAGTCGCTTAGAGACTAAAATCGTCGGGTATCAAAGATTTGCCTTGTGTAAAAAGGGCCTTAGTGAATGAAAATTTTTAACAATGGGAGTGTTTACATATGTACAGTCACTCACAGAAGTATTCGTAAATTAGTTTTTTCACAATATTCAAAATGTTTTCCATCATAAATCTTTTTCGTTAATTTTCATTTAAAATATAGCTCATTCTATAACAAAAACCATATAAATCATTCTTGCAAACTTTGTACAAAATTCATAAAAATGAATCAAACTTAAAAAAATTTTCATCAAAATTTCAAACTTTTTATTCAGAATTTTTAGAACAATTTTTGGTATGCAGTGTTATAACCCGTTCAGTTTTAGTATAATGAGGTGCAAGTTTCAAGCTGCTAAAAATTACTGCTGATATTTTAGAATTTTTTTGTCGAGGGTGTTGCGCATTTTCTTCCATAAAAAAATAGTTTTTGTCATGCCTTATATGGAAAAAAATGCGCAACACCCTCGACAAAACAAAAAACGTTCTAAAAAAATACTAAAATTGAAGAGGCTACAAAAGTGTATACCGAAAATTTGTCTAAAAATTCTGAATAAGAAGTTTGAGATTTTGATGAACATTTTTTAAAGTTTGATTCATTTTTATGAATTTTGTACAAAGTTTACAAGAATGATTTATATGGTTTTTGTTATAGAATGAGCTTTATTTTAAATGAAACTTAACGAAAAAGATTTATGATAGAAAACATTTTGTAATATTGTGAAAAACTAATTTACGAATACTTCTGTGGGTGACTGTATGTATATTTATGTGGAATAATACAGTGTGTTACGAAATGATAGCGTCCTAAAATTTTATATTTTCATTCATATCCTTGGATACTCATCGCGTACAAAAGTCCCACTTTAAGGCGTTTGTAAATGATAGCACCATTGAAGCAATAGTGTGGACAGGGGATTGGAGTTTCTCCATCTTTGATTTATAATTTTATTTTTTTTTTGCGCCCTGCGCGCAGTTTGCCGGACATTTGTTGACATTTGGTTTCAAAGGGCCACGCTCATGGGCGTACGTTACTTGCATGTTACAAAATAAAAATACATTTTAAGAATTTCAGCAACACACAAAAATAGAGCGTTCGCCCGAGCGTTTGTTTGGTTTTTCAACTGTAAAAATTTTACTTTGCATTTGGCACAGCAAAATTAAATTTTTTTGTACATCATAGCAATGTTTTCCACCCCGTCTCAGCACGGAGAAAAAAGTTACCGATTCGCACAGGCCCAAATTCGCGAAATTTCTTTTCTCTGCTATCCGACGTTGGCAGAATGTCAGCAATCCTATCAACTTTACGCGATGTGATGCTCCCAAGGATTTACATTTAGTTAAGATTGGCAATCCATCATTTCCAAAAAGTTTTGGTGCCAACTTGCAAAACGGCGTTGCAAGTAATATTTCGTCATTCGTTTAATAATTGCAAAGCACAACATACACTGCACTTTGCACTCAAAATTTTTGTAAAAAAGATCTGGCGCTTCCACACTTTAATGAACGCCATGTGTTAACTTTCACTATATACGAATTTTAAATCAATTTTAAATATAATTTTTTTTCAGTGCTGTCATATTTTTTATTATTTTTTCATTCTATATTTGTTTAAGTAAATTTTTACATCTTACTGGAGTACCTGAGCTTCATATGGAAGGGATTTCGCTTTGCTCTTTTATACATATGAAACTCCGGCACTCTCATATGAATTGTATTTATATGTAAGGGCATGCAGGAGGGCGATAATTTGTTTTTAATTTAAAGTGTAAATTTGTATACGTGTATTTTACTTCGGGGCAAAACAAAAACGAATGTGCTACAAGTACTTACGGAGTGAGCAGCTCTGTTCTGCTCGATGAAAAGAAAAGTTACACAACATAAGCGTTGAATTTATAAACATATATTTGGAAAAGTTACAATTAAATTTCTATGATTAAAAACAATAAACGCTGATTATATTTTAGTTACAATATACTACGGTTGTCTTTTGCAGAAACTGAAAATACATTATCGCGCTCCTGAAACTGAACTCGTAGTGTTGTTATCCATATTTCAAAACAAGTAATCAAAACATTGGGTACTGTATTTCTTATATATAAAATCGTCTTTTTTTAAATTAGAGTCCAATGTTTTTTTAGACATGAAGAGATTTCGTTTATAACTTTATTTAAAATACATTTCGGCATATCGGACATGTTGATTTACTGCTAGTTGTGAACCACTTGTACTGAAAGGGGAAAATATTTGAATTAGTCGATTATCAAATTTATTTTTTAGGCTAGTGTATACAGTTAATTAGTAATATTACAATAAGAGTTATGTAATTTTAAAACTAAATTAAGCGCCATACACACTTTTGGTAAGTGATAGGCCGAGTTTCTGCTCCAATATGTGGTGTGCGTCTTGATGTTGTTACACAAATGGAGGGATTTGCGTCGAAACAGCAAATGGATTTCAAGAGAAGCAATTTCGAGACAGACAGCATTTTTTTATTTAGAAAAAGAAGCTAAAGATATTTGTATAGCGGTAAACTACGACAATATGAAGTACCTCCTGGCAACACGTTAAAAAGTCTTCGCGTCTTGGGTCACTGTTAGCAATTGTAAATTTTGAGTGAGTAAGGACTTTGTTTACCTAGGATCCAATTTTTGTTTGGTATCGGCCCAAACCGATGAACGGTTGTAGAATCAAACAAGAAAAAGAAAATGAAAGAAAATTTCAAGACAGAAATACACTCATATATTTGGCATTGCCTGTCGCTATTAGAAAACCAGTTTTTTTCTATTATTAGATGTTGCTCGAAGTGGTAGTACGCAATAGCACACTGCGCAATTACGTTAAAGGCCCTACACATTAGGCCGGGTCGATTTTGTATGGGGGAAAATAAAAGGCATTTGACCGTATTGTAATAGTAATATTATGATGTCTTAGGTCTAAGCCAACTGTTATTGCCCACGAAAGATTAATTTAAAACTTATTTTTAGCCCGCGTAGTTGCATCAAAGTTTATGAATTTCGAAAATGAAACTTTGGCTAGTAATATCTATGGAATGCGTTAATTTTTATACACTAGACGATATATCAAATTAAGGGTTATTAAATTTATTACCTCACGTTCATTTATCATTTTTCAA